TTTTTCCTTGTTTTTTGATCCAAGGGGGTTGGATCTTGATCCACCAGGAGTTGGTGGGAGAAAGGAGGGGGGATGGTTAATTTCTCCTTGTTTTAAGATCCAAGGGTTTTGGATCTGTATTCACCAGGGAATTGGTGAAGAGTCTCTCCAGGCTACCCAGGGAAGGGAATTAGCACTTTGGGAGTGGTGGCAGCGGACCAGATCTAAGCTGGTAGTTAAGCTTAAAGGTTTCATGCAGGCCCCCACATTTGTACCCTAAAGTTCAGAGTGGGGAAGTAGCCTTGACAGCAACAAAAGTCAAACAGACGATTGTGGCAGATCTGAAGTCAGCAAGCTATTACTCTGTTATTCTGGACTGCACACCTGACATCAGCCATACAGAACAAATGACTTTAATGGTGCATTTTGTAACAACAGAACCTAGTGAAAGTGTCCCTGCAATGGTGACTGTCAGAGAGCATTTTCTAGAATTTATTGACACTGATGATACTACAGGAACTGGTATGACAAATGTGCTTCTTAAAAAGCTGGAAGATATGGGAATTGTGATAGCGGACATGAGAGGTCAGGGCTACGATAATGGTCCAACATGAGAGGAAAGAACAGAGGAGTGCAGACACGGATCCGAGAGTTAAACCCTCGAGCTTTTTTTATCCCATGCAGTTCTCATTCATTGAACTTGGTGGTCAGTGATGCAGCATCAGCTTCTTGTGAGGTTGCTGAATTTTTTAATGTAATTTCAAAGCATCTATGTATTTTTCTCTGCATCAACTCATCGATGGCAAATTTTGAAGCAACATCTGAGAACATCCTCTCTGACTCTGAAACCACTGAGTGCCACACGATGGGAAAGTCAAGTGGAGGTGATAAAGCCTATCAAACACCAAATTGGGAAGATAGATGATGCCATAGTTGCCATTATGGAGGATAATGCTATGATAGGAACTGTTCGTGGGAGAACAGTGGCAGAGGGAAATGGAATCATCAGAAACATACATAACTTCAAATTTCTGTGTGACTTAGTGTTGTGGCATGACATACTGTTTGAAATAAATGTTGTAAGCAAGAGACTCCAAGGTGTTGACCTTGATATATCTGGAGCAATGGAACAACTGGACAAAGCAAAGTCATACCTACAGTCTTACCGGTCAGATGAGGGATTTCAAAACGTTCTGAAGAGTGCACAGAAGTTGGCAGAGGAACTTCACACTGAAGCTATTTTCCCACCCATTCAAGAGTCACCAAAGAAGACATTTTGATTATGAGGCACGGGATAATCCCACAAGAGACTCCAAACAACAATTCAAAAGTAGAATTCTTTAACCAGTTGCTAGATTGTGCAATACAGTCAGTTGAAGAATCTTTCATGCAGCTCAAGGAACACAGCAGTATATTTGGGATGTTGTATGATATTCCAAAACTCCTCACAATATGTGAAGAAGACCTACACGAGCAATGCAGGGCACTAGAGAGAGTGTTGACACATGATGACATGCACGGTATTGATGCAAGTGATTTAGGTGATTAACTGAAAGTCCTTTCAAAATACATTTCAGCAGGATCAACTCCAAAGGCTGTTCTGGAATATATGTGCACAAATAAGATGACCACCCTCTTTCCAAATGCTTTTGTTGCACTGCGTATACTTCTAACACTTCCTGTAACAGTTGCCAGTGGCGAACGCAGCTTCTCCAAGCTGAAGTTAATAAAAAACACATCTACGCTCCACAATGACACGGGAGAGGCTGGTTGGCCTTGCAACCATCTCAATAGAGCATAAGCTGGCCCAGACTGTGGACCTTCAGGAAGCAGTTCAAATCTTTGCAACCAAGAAGGCACGGAAAGCACCACTTTGATTATTCAAACAGATAAAAATGCCAGCGTTTACTATGCAGACAAGAAAAATTAACTTTCAAATGCCTGAACAGCAAATGTAAGTGTTACTTAAAATTTTTGAACATGCCATTTTAAGTTGTTAGTTGTTCTTTATTGGTGTAGGTAGCAGAGCAGTACTATGAGAGGAGTAGAACAGGAAGAAGGTAGAATTGAGACCTTTCAGAGTTTTGGCCCAAGCGAGGGGGTGTCATTTGAGCTCCCCACCTCAGGTGCCAAAATGTTGTGGGCTGGCCCTGGGGCAGGAACTGGGCTGGACAGGGCAGGGGGTAGGACCAAATGCAGTTGCAGGCAGGGAAGGTGCTGAGCAACCATGAGCACTGGCTGCAGCGGGGTCAAGCAGTTGCTAGCTCCACCCAACCACCAGTCGGGAAAGGCCGTTAACTGGTCAGCCCCTGCTAGGGTCTTCTGTGTCCAATGTCTTGACTGACTCTGCTGCAGCTGGCTCCCTGTCAGATGTGTCCACGCCATGCAGCTGAATCTTGGAAAGGTTCCATTTCTCTCAGCCTCTGCTCAGCCAGCATCACACGGAGCTTTGGGGGGCCCCCACGCTCTCATCCTCATGAGATGGAGTGCCAGCCGTGCCCTGTGGCACCTGCTCCAGGGCTCCCTGCCGAACAGCAGGTGCGGCCATTATTGCAAACACCAGCCGGTTAGACTGAAATAAGCCCTTGTATGTGATAATTAATTGTGAGTTTCTTCTCGGCACTGCCTCCAGCCTCCATTTGTAGGCAGGCTTGAACGAGGTCAGTCCTGAAGAAATGCTTCTCGTTGGCTAATGAGGCAAAGACTGCCTCTATTCGAGGCCAAGGACACTGATCTGCATGCAGTGATGGTGAAGGATAATCTTGAAATCACACCGGTTCTAGACACCCCATTCATTTCACTGCTGGCTCTCTCGGGGGCTCCTTGGCTGGAACTCCAGCGCCCTCAAAGAGTGGAAATTCTGCCTCTCCCTTTGGCCATGTTGCCAAAGATGTTGGGTGAGCTTTGCACAACTTCCAAATCACTCGCTCTCTTCCAGCATCGTCATTTGTTTCCCGATGCCATCAGCTTCCTTGTCCCAAAGTTCCACTTGTTTGCGTATCAGTCCGGAGCTCCGCAGTTCTTTAACGCTGCAGGGGTGTGTGTATTGCCATGGCAGGCCAGCTGAATCTCTCAAACAATGCAGGACCCTCACACTTCACAACATAGAGATTTAGCAGCTGCTGGTTACAGTTAGATGTTACCTTCCCTGTAATAATGCCCAGGGGAGAGAGGGTTTCTCCTTATATTTTCTAGTAACACGGAGACCTTGTGCTCTCTGATAACGACCCTGTGAAATCCCAGTCACAGCAGAACCTCGATCCAGCTCCATTTTATATCTTACCCTTCCCATTGGAAAGAAATCCAAATAACCCTTCATTTATTGTCTTCTAAATGTAAGTAACTGTAGAGATGCTGCAGTGGTTGTCCTATTGTGAGTCGGGACCCCAAAGTGGGTCCTGACCCCATTTTAATGGGGTCACCAGAGCCAGCATTAGACTTACTGCAGCCTGGGACTGAAGCCTAACTCCAAGGGCTTCAGCCTGGGGCGGCAGGGCTGGGGCTTTGGCCCCCCATGCTGGGGTGGCGGGGCTCAGACCCCACTCCATCCAGAGTGATGGGGCTTGGGCTCTGGCCCCCATCCAGGGTCATGCAGTAATTTTTGTTGTCAGAAGGGGATTGTGGTGCAATGAAGGTTAATACAGCATTCTCCACAGACTCCCTGTTGTCATCTGCAATGCTGAACTCCTTGGGGATGGCCCTTAAAGCAGCGGTTCGCAAACTGCGGTTCGTGAACCCCCGGGGGGATTGTGAAATGTTACAAGGGGTTCTTGGGAAAAAATTCCCTAATGGCAGACAGCTGTCCCTAGGGAGCATGAGGCCAGCAGCCCGGAGCCCCTGGACTTCAAGAGCTAAGCAAATCAAAGCAAGCATATCTGTTACACTGAGGAGATTTAAACTTCAAGACTCCTTATAAGAAATAGAAAGGGAGGTGGATTAATTTTAAACAGCAAAAAAAAAAAAAAAAAAAGGACAGACTAG